CCCGAATCAATTCCCGTTTTTGTTGTTTCGCAAGTGGACGTGCTCTGATCTCTTTTCTCCACCCTCCACCTTCGTCCGCCATAGCCGATCCGCGTTCCGCAGCTCGATTACCTTTCGCCATAGTCACAATAACGTTTGTATAAAGCTGCTCGATCCCCTTCGCAACTTGCAGTCGTCGCTGCACATGCCGAACCCCGAATCAATACCTAGTTTCTACACTGAACACCGAATCAATTCCCGATTTTCGCTCACCTGTCCCTTGTGAGGTCGACGACCTGATATCTACATATATATATAAAGATATAGATACATATATGTATATATAGAGATATATTGCTACACTGAACACCGAATCAATTCCCGATTTTCGCTCACCTGTCCCTTGTGAGTTCGCCGACCTGATATATATATATATATATATATGTATATATATATATATATATATATATATATAGGTTCATATATATATAGAGAGATATATTGCGAGTCAGTTCGCAGTTTGCGACGTACAGTGTTCGAGGACTGACAACTGCGAGGTTATTCGCAGTTTTTCCAAGGTTAGACACATATTTCATTAAAGGCAGTTCTTTATTTCTACAAATGCGAGTCAGTTCGCACTTTTTGAGCAACACTGCTGGAGAGTTGACAACCCAACCCGTCCGGCTTTCAGGTCTTCGGTTCCACAATTCCGAGTTAGTTCGTACTTTCCCCTAGTGCTGCGCATCGCCATTATTGTCTTGTCTACAGAACTGCGAGTTAGTTCGCACTTGTCGAAACCCTTCGCAATTGTCGATAAACCAGGACTTCAGTTCCACAACTCAGGGTCAGTTCATACTTTCCCGTTGTACTCCGGGTTGCAATTGTCGTCCTGTCAGCAAAACTGCGAGTTAGTTCTCACTTGTCGATTCGCAATTGTCGGTAAACCACATCTTACTCTTTTCGTGCGTCTTTCAGGTCTTCAGTTCCACAATTCCGAGTCAGTTCGCACTTTCCCCTAGTGCAGCGGGTTGCCATTGTTGTCTTGTCTACAGAACTGCGAGTTAGTTCGCACTTGTCAACACCCTTCGCACTTGTCGATAAACCACATCTTACTCGTTTCGAGGGCATCTAGTTGGTTCGCAATCTTTCCGAACAGTTATCGTCTTCCCTCTGAACTTCTGTCTTTCCTACCCTTCACCCAATTGTTGTGACTTCGTGTGCATTTCGAACACCCATCTCTTACGTCCTTTTCGTCCTCCATTTCGTTAAGTCCAATTTAGTTCGCACTTCGCTTCTGTAGTGGTCTGGGGTTGGGCGTATTAGTCATCCGAGCTGGTTTGAGGTTGGGCGTGCTAGTCAACGAGTGGGAATACAACGGCGTCCGCAAAGAACACTTCCACAAGCGTTGGACCATCTGCCCCCGGGGAGGGACAACCTGTACAGCAACCTAGTCCTCAGTATATGCACGCAAAGGGAGCACCATGGTTTTTGGACGTCGTTGTTCAGGGGGACCTTTTTGGGCCAGCTCTTTTCATTCGACCCACTTGCGTTACAGACGCTGGGGGACCAGTCAACGTTGTTGCTCTCTGTACCGTTGTCTCCTGCGCAAAGACTCCTGGAGGTTTGCTCAAGTTGCACGCTAACGACATGTACGACGAGTGCAAACTGCCTGTCAGGGGTGTTAAAGGTGTGCTGGTGACCATCAAGAGTTTCGCGGGGTACGGCTCGAACATGCCGTTGTGCTCTCACTTCAAAGGCCTTTACGATGGCGGCACCAAGCGTCTTCCATCGCTAGAGCAATATCTCGATCTCGCGCGGATGGTGCCGAAAGAACGTCCGGTTCTTCCGCCAGAGCATGTTTTCCGGCTTCTGCCACCCCGTGAGGGGTCGTCTGACTTGGCTCAAGAAACTCCAGGTACGGCAGTGGGGTGCGGGAGTCCGATTCAAGACGCTGGGGGTCGGGTCAAGGGGCGCGCGCAGCGTTCACACGCAGGTCGGCCCGGATGCTCCTAGGAACACGTCGGACTTGCATTCTCAGGGTACAGGGACTCAACGGGTCGGTACTCCGAAACTCATCAAGAACCGCTGCGGCGGCGACACGTATTCGCTTTGAGATGAGACGAGAAGAGAATCTAGCAGATCAAGGCAAGATGTTGGAGGGAATGAGGCTGAAGGGATGGGCGTTGTCCTCGAAAGCTCTGGCGGGGAGCAGACTCCTTCAGAGAAGAAGCGCGAGCGACAGAGGATGGTGCGAGAGGAGGTGGCGTAAGGAACCCTCCGCATGAAGATGACGAGAGGAAAACCATAGGCGGTGATGGGCGGGGATGGAGGTGGCGACGGAGAACGTGCCTCGAGAAAGAGGCCGACGAAGGAAGAGGGTGGGACGGCAAGTAAGAAAGCACGGAGGCCAGGCGGCTTGACCATCTGCGAAGGACAAGCTGCGGGTGGAGGAGATTCGGCTGATCCAAGCGCTGCGGCCGCGAGAGAACCTTCGGGGAAATCGAAATGGAAAGTGGCAGCTGAAGAAGGCGATGGCCRGAAGAAACCTCGAAGGCGAAAGACTGATGAGGCGGCGAGCSGTGGCGAAGGGCCTGTCGGTGAGGAGTGTGACGAAGCGGCAGCGTTCTGACTCGAATACGAGCGGAACGATGTCGGTGAAATCGTGGAGAAGGAGCTCCCCGTCCAACTGCTCATCGACCCCAGGAAGGTTTGCGACATCCCGCCTTGGGAAAGATATTACAACCACTGCAGTCTAAGTCGCGAAACAGTAGGCGACATCAAGGATGCGATGCTGAGTCGATTCTGCGAGAAAAAGGGGAAGATCTGGACGAAAAACCCTCTGGTTTTGGCACCCATCTACAAGCCGGTGACGCGTAGGCCGRAGAAAGCTCWCAGGGTTCACAAAGATGTCTTCAAGCCAGAGGACAAGGACAAGTACTACTATTACCCTGTTAACAGACAACACACCGTGGCTGCTGTGAAGGAGTTGGAGGGTGATCCAATATTTAATTTGTGGAAGATGCACTCGTGGCTGGCGAGAGTAGTGTGGTTCTYCGACCGAGATTTCGCGGGGAATAGACAGGTCAGTCTCAACAAGAACACGAGACACAAGATGTCTAAGCACCGATCGCAGAAGGCCGCGTTCTTGGACATGCGGGAGGCATGGGAGAACGAAGGAAGGCCGATGGCCATTCAAGGGAACCCTTCCAGCAAGGAGGCCGAAAAACAAAAGTTTTTCGATTTCCAAAAGCTGATTTTGGGAAAGAGTCCGAACGAATCTCACTGGTCGTTGTCAAAAAAAGATTCGTCGCTCGCTGACAAAAGTATGTCGCTGCAGTTGGCAATGCATTGAGGCAGTGGATGCCGCTCGTGATGGCCGGTGATGACGTTTTCCTCAAAKCCATGGAGTTCTACGCAAAATGGGCGGAGGGGAAGTTGTTGGGCGGCGACGACAAGACGCCATTATTGAGGCCGGGCAAATACATGCCAGACAAATCTCCGGGTCTGCAAGCAATTCCGGAAATGGGCTCGAAAGAGGCGGCTGGTGAAACGAAGATGGGGTGGCTTGTCCGGGTACCTGCGCCTCCTACCAAAAAGAAAACGCAAGCGGACGACAAGTTTTTCGTGGTCGTGAAGGAGCCAGACATGTTCTGTTGGGAGTGTCTCGCCAACATGACCGATGTCGAGAAACTGTCCATCCTTGACGACATTCTCACGCTAAGGGAAGTGTTCGTGCAATCCGCGGGCGGCCATCTGAAGCGTCAGCATAAACTTGGAATTAAAAACATGGTCGCGACGAGGAAAGTGGACCGTGTGATGCTCCGTATGTTCCACTACATCTTGTTCCTTGAAACGGAGAAGAACGAACGTGTTTGGCACCACGGGAGCTCATTTTTTCTGACCGAGGGGAAGCTTATGGAGGAGTTCGGGCCGCAGGATCTCACGAAACAGGTGTGGGTCGAAATGCGAAAGCATATCCAGGGCGCGGTGGAGTACGTGAACACTTGCAAACGTACTCTTCCGCACGAGAAGGAGTCCATCGAGGACGCGAAGAGATTGTACGATGATGACAGGTTCCCTAAATCTTTTGAAAAGTCTGTCCGTTCTATCTTGCGACGGACGGAAGAAGAAGTTCGAGACACGATCAGGGTCAGCGGGGATGTGAGGCACATCAAATGGCCCGACCTCAACCAGGTGACCAGCCTTATTCCTTTCGCTTTCCCGCCTTCCCAAGCTCACAGTCATGTCACTGTGATCCGTGAGGTTGTGCGACATTACGTGTGCAACCTGTACGTCCTCGATTTGTGTGATCCCACACTCCTCACAGACTGGCGAGAAGACGATTTCACCAACTTGCAAGGCCTTCTACAAACACTTTCGCCAGCGCACTGGGCACTAAGCACTTGTGATATTTTTCCCTTCTCACTGGGAGCTCAATTTCTTGAAAGGCATGGCCAGGCTTAGCGTCCATCACGTCAGGATAGGGAAGTGGGTACCTAATGTACAAAAGCAGGCCACTATCCGGGAAGGCAATATGCTGGTTGAGGAGTGTGACCGCCTGTACGTGATTTTTAATGGCGAGAAGCTGGAAGACAACACATTCGCAGTCTACCCGACTAGTAGCCCGACAAAGGCTTCCCGTGCTTATGGTCCAAGTCTGGCCAAACACAAGGTAGCAGGCCGCTCGAAAGCTGTCTGTTCGTCGGACCCATCAGGACAGGTTGTGGCGTGTTTCGACGTGGCGGAAGAGGAAAGGTTCTCTCGTAGCATGTGGGAGGACGACGGCGTGACAAGTTCTCAAGGACCTACTTACGGGGAGATGGAGTGGAACCCGTCCCGTCTACTTGGTCTACTCGAAAACTTTTGCAAAGCTGGTCAAACTGTTTTTTTCTTTGGGAAGGCGCATGCGTCTATCGTGTGGGAACTCTTGCGCACCGGTCGGAACTTCGTCGCGTTGGAGAAGGAGGCGAAGATGATCGATAACTTCACGAGTTCGTGAAGGCACGCGTCGCAGACACTCGCAATGCTTGCGAGTTTGTCCAGACCACCGACGAACGAAACTGGGATCCTAAACGTGATATGTATTGGAAATTGTCGGGGAACAAAAGGACGGACGTTTGTGACTTCCTTTTCGGCGCCAGACCGCCTGGTCCGACCGACCTCGAATACACTCAACGGAGAAACCTGGTGTTCGCTGTGCTCAATGGGTACCACGGTGCACCCAGGGAGTCTTTCTCGCACTTCCTAAGAAGGCTGGAGCACGTTTACTTCACGCTGGCCGAACCGCTCACTCTCGAAAACTACAAGTCACAGTTTGACGAGGAGGACCCTTTCGACGCTGAAGACATGGAGGAGCTGAGCGACTCCGAAACCTTCGATTTCGAGTCCATGCCACTTCCTCGGGTGGTTGGACAGGTTGGTGATGAAGAGGAAGGTGGCCTTCGGAGATATAGCACGTCCCCTGCCGGTTTGAAGTGTGTGTTTCGGGGCGAACCAGTCGACGACCAATCTTCTGATGACGGGGAGGAAGAGAGAGACTATGATCACGAACCTTGTGACAGGCTCCCTGTGGACCATGATACCTGGCAGAATGACAAACTCTATTTCTTCGGCAAGCATCACCGGTTCACGTCGGAGGATGTCTGGGGACACAACGTCGTATGGCACCCGAGGATATTCCAACCTGCTGTGAGGAATGGAATATGGGTCATGGCAATAAAGGAGGCCGATGGCAAGTGGAGTGAACTGAAGAGACTGGGAGCGGGTGCATTTAAGAGAAAGGCAAGAACTGCTCTGGTGGAGCATTTGAGTCTCATGAACCCCGAGAGGAACAATCAGGACGTCGAAGCGTATGCAGAACAAAAGCTATGTGAGTTGTACGCCAACAACATGTTGGAGTTTCGAGCACCTTTCTACGCACTCGAAACGGTACCGTCTCGTGGCATTGACTGGTGCATGCCGCAACCTCCGTCGGCCGGTCAGCATCCGGGAGGGGGTGGTGGAGGAGACGAAGGAGACGRCRTAGGTGGCGGAGGAGACGGCTCACAGTTTTTCCGGAAAGGGGACGGGGGAGACATCGTCGGTTGAGAAGGCGTCCGGCGGAAAGGGGTCGGGCGGAAAGGGGTCGGGCGGAAAGGGGTCGGTTGAGAAAGCGTAGAACGTCCGGGAGTCCCCAGAATATGGAAACCGACCCCCACTGCGTAGGGAGTCGAGATTTCAACATGCGAGACGAGGCCACCCTGACGTCTGATCAAGTGCGAGTAGATTCACACTTGTCTGCGAGGAGTTTGTTTCTCGTTGCCCAGGAGAGTCCGTCCTGCCGTGCGCAGGAGAGGTCTCCTGTGCTCAACACCTTGCTCCTGAAAGAGGGCGCGTCTTCGTTTTGCCTGGAGGGCGGGATGCCTGCATTGTGAAGGAGCGAAGGTGCGACCTCCGGTTCCCTCGGCTCGGGCGACCGCCACCAACTCCGAATACATTCGGATTTGYTGRCGTCGCCCTCCGCCATAAGTGCTCCTCACGCAACAGTTCCGCGGGGCCAAGAAAATGTGACGTCCTGGCCCCCGCATCTTCAGTTGGACACAGGGTTACCCTGCTCGCCTCCTTTCTCATGTGTTGAGACTCGAGACTGGCGGTCCCGCGACGTGCTGGAGGGGACCGCTTCAGGAGTGCTGGAGACCGGGGGTAGCGAGAACGAACGTCACACTCCTGGGGAAGACGAGCGCTCTCCGGGAATGCGTGCTGTACATCGGGATGAGGAGACTCAACGCTGGCAGTCTCGCAAAGTGTTGGAGACCAGAGGTAGTGAGTGTGAATGTCATGCTTCGGAGGGTGCGTCCGTGGACACTGACAGCGAGAGTGCAGGAGCCCTGGGGGAAACGCATGCTGTACAGCGGGGAAAGGAGACTCGACACGGGCCCGCTCGTGAAGACGTGACGTGGCTCCACGCACGAGCGCTGGTGATCGGGACGTCTGAAGAGGCTCTGCACTGTCGCTCGGCTGTGGCCACGACGCGAGAGGGTGTCGTTAAGGGAGGTCAGTGGACGTCCGTGCAAGCTCCCGTTCTTGGCGACGATGAAGACGAAGAAGAACCCGCGGTGGAAGCTCGGGTTCATGGCGATGAGAAAGGCGGAGAACCCGTGGTGGAAGGCGGTGAGGTGACTGTCGACATCCGGACGGATCCACAGCGGAAAGATTGTGATTCCGCGCCCACCCGTTGCGGTGACGAACAGGGTGGTCGGGCGTCTGTCTTGAGCACCGCTCGGGGAATGGTTCTTCATGAAGCCATAGAGTTGGGTGACGACTCAGCAGCCACCAAGCTGGTTAGCGACTCAGGCGTGGCCGAGATGTAGAACGTCGAATCCTCCGTGGAAGGCGGTGAGGTGGCCGTCAGCATCAAGATGGATCCAGAGCGGAAAGATCAGATTCTCCGTCCACCCATTGCGTTGCCGAATAGGGTGATCGAGCATCTGTCCTCAATACCGGTCGGAAAATGGTGCTTCATGAAGCCATCGACTTGCCAAGCGACTCAACTGCCACCGAGCTGGTTAGCGACACAGCCGTGGTCGAGGTCGAGAACCTCGAATCGTCCGTGGACGTTGGCGCAGTGGCGCGACAGGAGGGCGAGTTCCCTAAAAGGGCTCCCGAGCACAGTAAGATTTGTGAATAAGACCACTCGCATATCTGTCAATAGCCAGCTCTGTGTTCGTCCAAATTGATGTCATGGGCTAATGTACCTATTACCACTGGTTAAAAAAAAAACTTGTGGGTTGTTGGTTGTTTTCTATGTTCTACAGGTGTGAGGTTGTTAATGTCCCTGCCCATGAAGCCTTTAAAAGCCGTGCGCGAGAAATGTTTTTCAGGGAGGTCATTGGCCGCTTTACCGAAGAAGTCGTCAAGTGTAGGGTTGTTTAAAAGGGTCCAGATGCCTCGCCTTTCCCAGAGAGTTGTCACGGTTCTGAAGGCTTGTGGAATAGATACGGAGGAAGGTCTGCGGAAACATTTGGCTGCGTCTATTGAGAGCGTTACTGCTTTTTCTGATGGGTCTGATGACGATGGCGAACGGGGTGTCTTGAAAGACCCGTGTCCTAAGTACATCGTGAAGGACACATTCAACAGTCATGGATACAACTTTTTTGGGAAAAGGGCAGACAGTTCTTAGTCATTCCGCCCTGGGGTTTGTGCTCACTCCTCACACTTGTTCGTGGGTGTTTGTGCAGCTGGGGCTACATCATGTTTTCGCGTTCCCTTGCCTACTGAGGAGCTTAGTGCTGCGGACTTCAGAATGTTGCAGGACGTCCACGGAGATTTCAGCAACGGCCAGGAGGTGGTTTCCTCGGTTCGCAGAGGTCCCAATTCGATTCCGTTGACCAGAAAAAATGTTTAAACTCTTGTCCAGGGGGGATGGCTTTCCGACGAGGTGGTGGAGTCGTACTTGGCCTTGCTTGCCAACGCTGCGTTCCCTGGGGGTCCCTCTCTTTACATTTTCAGTCCCTTTTTCTATACCAAGCTCGTCGGTGGCGGTTATCGACATGAAAGGGTCGCGAAATGGACAAAAGATGTGGATATTTTCTCGTACGGCATGGTCTTGATTCCTGTCCATAAAAATTGAGTGCATTGGACCCTATTATGCGTCGGAGAACAAGGGATGGAGTACTACGACTCCCTCCTGCAAGACGATGGCGGTTTTTCTTCCAATGTGCTTGCGAACTTTACGCAATACCTCCGCGACGAAGCGGCTGGTCGATATGGTCAACAAGCCAAACWGGATCTCCCGGCGCCCAAGGTGGTTGCTCATGGTGTCCCTCAACAGTCGGACGGGTCGAGCTGCGGTGTTTTCATGCTCGCCTTCGCTTCTTTTCTTGCACGCGGCTACCCGCCACCATTTYCGATAGCCCAAAGCGACATTGCAAACATCAGGCTRAGGATTGCGGTGGACATACTCCAAGGCTCTGAATAATACCCCTGTTGTTAAAATACGCRTAGTTTTTTTTTCCAAAGGCCATAAGCAGAAGTGCGAATCTATTCCCACTTGATCTGGCAGTCAGCCAGTTCGAGCTGTGCTGTTGTTTTGATGAGGTACCGAATTGCAGAGGACGTTTTTAGGTGTCGATGTGAATATCCCAGCCTCGTGCTGTACCAAGTTTTTTAAGGGTTTTTCATTTCGTAGAACCTGTCATCTTTATTCGTAGGACTTTCGGCAGCGCCTTGCTGCCTTTGTTTGTTTTATGGTTGTTCTCATTGCTTGCCGCGCAACATCAGCTAGTGGGTACCAGCGGACGCTTACGTGAAGTAGAAGCTTAGATGCCGATGTAAATATCCCAGCCACGTCATGCGCTTCCTTTTAAGTAGACGCTTACATATTGGATGTGAATATCCCAACTTTGTGCTCTTTTTGTTTATACTCGAGTTGTTCTCCTTATGTCCTCTCAGACCGCGGCAGCACCGTGCTGCGTTTGTTCGTTTCGAGGTTGTGCTCCTCTCTTGCTCATGTGAAAGATATCGACGATTTATTCTTGGTCGCCAAATTCTTTCGTGCTTATCTCTTTCGTTCGCGAGACTTTGTGGAGTGAAAGCCCCTCTCCCCCACCCCACCCCGACCACCCAGCTTTCATATGTTTTGGCTCACCCTTGTTCTGCGTGTGTCGCCCTGTTTTACGGTTCACCCCCTTTGCTTGTCTCGATTGAATATTGTCTGTTGGTTCCTTATGATAGTTGCGAACTTGTTCTCCATTCGGAAACCAATTGTCGCCAGAATGTATGTGTGCTTGAAGTGGTTTTACGGATTCAGCGGTGCACTGAGTGATCACCAATTTTGTTATCCCCAGAATACATCTCGTGCTCTCCACAGAATGCTGGTTGTTGTTTCCGTATGAGAAATGCAAACATATTCGCGCTTCGGATGCCGTACATTTGTGATTGAACTGTTGGTTCYMTGTGAGAAAYGAGAACATATTCGCACTTTGGCTCYATGTACTTTGTCATAGCACAAGTCAAATTGTAAAGCACACAGAGACATCGCAAACATCGAGGTGATATTATCTCAAGTTGCCTAGTGTTTTTCCAAAKGTGAAGTCTCASAGCACACGAACAGGTACTAGAAACCATTCATTGCARAAAATTCATTCGAGGGCAAATTGCAAAGCACATAGAGACGTTTCAAAAAGTCATTCAACGCGAAATATCATGCAATCCCACATTGCAAAGTGCACGGAGGCTTTTAACGGACTCAGCGATGCACTAAATGATTGTCAATTTTGTTATCCCCGGAATACATCTCGTGCTCTCCACTGGATGCTGGCAGTTGTTTCCGTATGAGAAATGCGAACATATTCACACTTTGGATGCCGTGCATTTGTGATTGAACTGTTGGTTCCATATGGGAAATGAGAACATATTCGCACTTTGGCTCCATGTACTTTCTGATTTTTTGAAAGCCTCCGTGCACTTTGCAATGTGGCATTGTATGATATTTTGCGTTCAATTTGGAAAGTCTTTGTGCTTTGCAATTTGCCCTTGAATGAATTTTCTGCGTAGAATGGTTTCATGAAACTGATCGTCTGCTCTGAGACTTCACCTTTGGAAAAACAGTGCGCAACTTGAGATGCTTTCACCTCGATGTTTGCGATGTCTCTGTGTGCTTTGCAATTTGACTTAAGATATTTTCATCTCGATGTTTGCGATAACAAGAGATACTTGTATGAATGGATATGAATCTTCTACACAGAAAGATTTGATGGCGTTTTCAACTTGTGATATAGAAATGGCAAGCCAATGTCCATATTAAATCGTCGCGCTGATAGACTGCGCAACTGCTTCTCCATCAAAGTGCGAGTTCAATCGCACTTCTGGTGTGGGCCTTGAGTAATTCCCTCGCACTTTGCGTCACGTTGAGGAGGGGATCGAACGCACCGCTTGTAAGCACCTGCACATCACGAAACAAGAGCACGTCCCAATTGGAACATCGTCGGGTCCTCACCTCATCGACTCTCAAGATGAATACAACCAACAGCGGTAGGATGACATGTCCGCCTATCCGATGTGGATCTCACGGTGGAGTGCGAAACTCTGCTCTCAAAGATCCACACCGGGTAGAAGGTCCTGCAAGCAGCCACTGCTTGCGTGCAAGGCATCTTATGATGTGTCAATATAACCGACATCCAGAACTGCTTGGTGAACATCTAGTGCTACACCAATAAGTTCCAAACACGACAGCAAAGTCCCCTAAGAGTGTTTTTTGCCGGGTCCTCACCACATCGACTCTCAATACGACTACAACCAACAGCAGTAGGATGGCAGATCCGCCTACCCGATATGGATCTCACGCTGGAGTGCGAAACTCTGCTCTCAAAGATCCACATAAGGTAGAAGGTCCTACAAGCAGACGGTGCTTGCTTGTAAGGCATCTTATGATGTGTCGATATGACAAACATCCAGAACTGCTTAGTGAGCATCTAGTGCTGCACCAATATGTTCCAAACACGGCACCAAAGTCCCCGGAAAGTGTTCTTTGCCGGGTCCTCACCTCGTCGACTCCCTCAAGATGACTACAGCTGACAGCAGTAGGATTGCAGGTCCACTTATCCGATGTGGATCTCACGGTGGAGTGCGAAACTCTGCTCTCAAAGATCCACATCAGGTAGAAGGTCCTGCAAGCAGCCACTGCTTGCTTGTAAGGCATCTTATGATTTGTCGATATAACCGACATCCAGAACTGCTTGGTGAGCATCTAGTGCTACGCCAATAAGTTCCAAAAACACAGCAGCAAAGTCCACTGAGAGTTTTCTTTGCCGGGTTCTCACCTCATCGACTCCCTCAAGATGACTACAGCTAACAGCGGTAGGATGGCAGATCCACCTATCCGATGTGGATCTCGCGGTGGAGTGCGAAACTCTGCTCTCAAAGATCCATACCTGGTCGAAGGTCCTGCAAGCAGCCGCTGCTTGCTTGTAAGGCATCTTATGATGTGTCGATATAATCGACATCCAGAATTGTTTGGTGAGCATCTAGTGCTACGCCAATATGTTCTGAACACGATTGCAAGGTCCCCTAAGAATGCTTTTGGCACTGGAGTCCTCTGACCGCCGACTGTTTGGCACTTCGTGAAGGTTGACACTTCTTGAAGGTCGTCTACCACTTCTTAAAGGTGGTCAGTCACCAAACAGATCACGACCTGACATCGACCTCGATAACTGCGAATTGACTCGCTGTTCAACTTGAGTCTCTCTCTCTCTCTCTCTCTCTCTCTCTCTCTCTCTCTCTCTCTCTCTCTCTCTCTCTCT